AAGAAATTCAATAACAAAATAACAGAAAATTCAACAAGCATAAAACGCTCAAACAAACAAAAGCCTTGGACTCCTATAGTAGACAGTAGTCAACACAGTAGACATACCTCTAGCTTTTGTTAAGATGCGGTCAGAGAAAACAAACATTTTGTCACTGTTTCTTACAAAATACCAATGCTTATTCCATGAAAGTAGCCTAACTATGCCTAACGTAAATAGGCCTTACTTCATCTCATCCTGTCTAACCTGTTTGTATCAGAGCAGCAGCTTTGAGTTACTGATTCTTGCACAATTCGTATTGCCACTTGTTATACACTTAACCAACTTAACCTAACTTAGAGTAGCCCATATGTTGTACATCATCTTAACTCACCTGTCTGTTGACAGCAGCACTTGTGATAAAAACATAATATAGCTATTTTTTGGCTGGTTTAAACTTGCATTTTTTATTCAGTTCATTTGTGTATGCTTGTTGACGTCAGACAAAGTTGACAACACACAAATTAAAATACTTGAAATCACTTTGAATAACTTATTTTGATTGCCATGTTTAACCTATGCCAAGGGCAATAATGGGTATGCTCTACAGAACAATCTCTCTTCTCCAAAAGTAACATAACCTTTAGATGACCATGCCAGTATTGCTGCTTGCCTTTTCAGCTGCAACAAATGCATCCATTTGGGCTTGCTTATTCATATTTAATGACAAAATTTGAGATGCCGGCTTCACATTTTAAATGGGATGGTCTGACCTGTTGTTACATACTATTATTCAACTCATATTATAGTTGCTATGCAGCTTAGAGTATCCTTGTGTTAAAAATATAGTGCATATATACAGTACAGTCATTTGCCAGCCAGCAAACCATGACACTATAGAAAGTATTTGGTTAAAGCAGCCATGAGAGACCACTTCAAGAAATTTCGGACAAATAATCAAGAATATGGAAAAAATAGGCCCATTGCATGTCTTGAAGCATCATAATTTGTATTGTGACAAAACTCGATTAATTGAAACAGAAAATGGCTAACTCTGGTTATCAATCAGGTGTTGAAAGCAGGTAAGGTAAGCAATTGCTTGGTTCACAGGAGGCTTACTGGCTTCTTCCTGCTCCCCCAAGACAAAAAGTCAGTGCCTTTTGTATGGTCTGCTGGCAGAGAGAGTCATCCCACCCACCCCCCAAAAATAAATATCGTCAAGTCTGTCCCAAAGCTCTGTATGGCAGCATTAGGATGACCTGGTCAGGTAGCCTGGCGAGTTAGACACTCGGAAGGCTTATATTTATCATTAATGGACACCGCCATGAACCAAGAAAACGGTTAAACGGGGGTTTAACAGGCCAAAAATGGTGGTAAAAATAAGTTCCGTGCTTCAAATTGTCTCCTTCATTCCCTGTAAATTGTTCACTCTTGGGCACATATCAAACATGTTTCGGCGGCTGGCGAATTAATCCAATTTATGTATAAAATACATATAAGTTTGCAATTGGAGAATCTTGCAGAGAAATTGGTCAGCATTTTAAGCAACAGATGGCACTTTTAAAGGCAATCCAAAAGCAAGGGAGAATAAAGTGGTATCACACTCGTAGGATACCAAGAAAAATGAAGGTAGTTAAATCAACATAAAGACTAATATTTTTTCTGGTCAAATTTTGCTCTCAGCTGATTTGATCTAAACTCTGTTACGATAAGTGCTCAAATGGTGATATTCATCTTGTAAATTTAATTTGGAAGATATTTCTTGAGTCCTTCACTCCTGCATTTCGAGAGTGATGCAATTTAGCGTTCAAGTTTCCTCGGGAAAAAGAAATACGTCAACTAAAATTTTCTACCAGGCCTTGCTGGTGTTTGCACCATCCCTGTTTTCGAGGCGTCGTGGTGAGACGAAAAAATAGGGGATGCGTGAAAACCTTGCATTTGGCACACAGCTGCCAATTGTAATGCATTTTGTAAACAAACCAAACTTAATGCGTGCAAGCGGCTGGAGCCGCTGGGGTTCTTGGTCTTGGAGGTACCTGGCGCCCATGCTCTGTGCATACATAGACATGATTCAGATGTAGGTGAGGCAGGACATAGCCACAGGTGTCCAGGTTCTGTGGAGCCTCGTTTATGCTTGGTGGTTTCAAGTGAGCTCGGCCTTGGATGACATCTGAAAACCTCAGAAAGGGAAATAGGGGTTTGGCATGTGCGATGAGACCATGTTAGGCGGGAGTGAAAAATTCACATAACACGTTGGGAAAAGGAGTGAAAAAATTCCTCACCATAGGGTGTTGCTTTACGCCCAAAGTCGGCAATGCTAGAACACTGTTCAACAGCGACACGTACGGCATATCGCAGAACTAAAACAAGATAACGCACACGCTTACAAATCGCCTGATGTAACGCCCACTATCGCACCCGGTATCACACATTGCCCCAAGCCGACTGCTATTTTTCTTATTCAAGTTCTAGCATTTCAAAGTGCGATATTACTCGCTGTCAGTACCTCTGGTTTTGTATTCAAGAGGTTGTCACTGGTCGCCCCAGAGATCCAATGCCCTCCTTGACCTTCCTGTTTTCTTGAGTTTGTCTACTAATTTAAATTTCACTCTTTTCTCAAGCGATGCAATGGTCTGTGTTCAGAATGTGCTTCAATAAGCCTGAATGGCTTAGATGTGTGCTTTTTATCGCCCTTCCGTTCTTTAGCTTCTGCATTCTGCCTGCCACATAAACTTTTCCGCACTCACATGTGCATCGGTATTCCTGCAGTTTTTTCCGTTTTTAACAAACCCCGATTAAAATAGGAGGATAGGTACATTGACGAAGCTTTGATCTTCAACCACTGCCCAAAAATTCTGTTTAAAGAGTTTGCGAAAAGCTCACTCATCGAAGAACAAGACACGCATGAGAAGACAGTCATCTTGACTTGACTTGACTTTGTGGGAATCAAGGCTATCTAACGTGTGAACTACTTACTTTACTGCTCACTTTACTTTGTGTTTATTTTTGTGTGTGACTTTAGGTTTGTTTCTTGACTTTACTTTGTATGAAGGAGAATTGAAGATGATAACGCGGCTTTTGAAACCACATGTTCGTGTAGCCACCAAACCGTGTGCAAACATAGTAAGTTATCGAGATCGGCCCAAAGACAGGTTAAAAACGGACCGAAAGGCAGGAATGATTCACCAATGCACATGATAATGCGGAAAGGTCAACACGAAGAAGAAATGTAGAGGCTTAAAGACCAGAAATGGTTAACACCAGCGAGTGCTAAGAAACGCGGATATAAATAATTCTGGCGTATCGAAGCACAGGTCATTGGATCGCGTGAGAGGAAAATAAATTTCGTTATGAGACAAACTGGAGAAAAAGAATGATCAAGGAGGTATTTTCATTTTTTGAACGACAAGCGACAAATTTTTCAATGCAAAACCGGCATACCGGTAACAAGTATGTTAAATTTTGAAATGACAGACTATGATAAGAAAAAAGGAGTCGGCTAAGGCAATGCGTAATATCGGGTGCAATGGCGGGCTTCGGGTAAGGCGATTTGTACAGGTGCACGCTATCTTGTTTTATTGTCGCGATATGTCGCATGCGTCACTATTCAACTGATTCCGAAATGTGAATACCTATGGACATGTCTCAGAGGTATGCGCGGTGACAATTGTCATTTGGCATGGAAACATTCAAAAGAAATGCATTGAAATCGTGTCAAGCGGTTAGCGTATTGCATGTGCTTTTTGTCAACGGTTTGCACTATTTATATGCGGCATAAATGTAAAAATGATCATCTATTCTCCTTTTGCTGCTTGGTAGGGATAGGTTAGATTGCGTTTAACTTTTTAGGTATTTTATTATTGCGTGCCTGACTGTGTTTTCATGAATGCCACCGTCCGACAAAGGCCGAGGAAGGGATAAAGGTTATCCCAAAGCGCCCTTTGAATAGAAGCAAGTTGGTTGGCATATTATCTTTTTTACAACTTTTTGTTAAGTCCAGCCGCAGCAATGAACGCACCTTACCGTTCGTTGGTATAACATCTGTAACCCACTCTAGCTTTCAGGCAGAGTTTCGTTCAAACTGGTTTGAGCCTGGCTCAGCATTTACGAACGGAGAACCAGACGGTTGTTTCACGCTTTGTGAAGACCTCAGGCCGCCGAGTACTTTTTCTCTCTTAAGGTACCATAACGGTGTTTCATTTGGCAGCGTTACGCAATCAACCAACGCTGCTGGAGAGGTGATCGACGGACTAAACGCCGCGCCGCCAAGTGATTGCCAGGCGAGCTGAGGACGTACTGTGCGCGCCGCCAAGTGATTGCCAGGCGAGCTGGGGACATACTGTGCTATTCCTAGCGCCCGATTACTTCCCGTGCTCCCGCCTGTGAGTTCGATGCCTACGGCGAGAGGTAGCCGCGCGCATACCGTTGGGAGTCGGTGGACCCAGTCACTGCCCGGGTCCGACCGCACTACGCCCCTCTCGTGTCAGTGGCATTAAGCGCGGCAATCCAATACAAGCGCGGCCAAGACGCAATAAGGGCGACGAGCATCCGTCCGAATCATGCCATCAGCGTCCGGCGGCGCGGCCGCCTCGCGGGGGTCGGCGGCCCTGTCACGACCCCGGGACGCTGCTCTATGCGGCGCCGTCCGACGCGCATCGCTCCGGACAAACCTTTTACGCTAATGAAGACCGCGATATAAGTGACCAGCAGCCGGAGCCTCCATTACGGCGAAGCGCGCGCCCTCGACGTTCGGTCGGTGCCCGATCGGGCCGTGGCAGCGTCGGCAGAGAGGCGCTGCCTCTCGGGCGGACAGAGTAGGCGTCGACCCGGCGACCCCGGCCCGCCCGGCGACCTCTCGCGGGCGCGGTCGGATGGTGCGACCGCGCGGCCGGCCGGCGCGCCCACCTGTTGCCGCCGCCGGCCGTCGTCGGCGGGGGCGCTGCCGTCGCCCGTCGTCGGCCGTCGGTGCCGACACGGATCAGTGCGGACCCGCGTCGGGCGGCGGCCGGCCGCAGGGGGCGATGGCGGGACCGGGGGCCGGTGCCCTCCTGAGCCGTTGGGTCAGGCGGCGACCCGCCTGCGCCTGCAGCCTTCTGGCCGCGCTCTGCTATCTCAACACGCTCAGGGCTGGTTTTGTCTACGATGACACGTGAGTACATGCCGTGGAGGACGTATGAAGACAGGCGGGGACAGGATGGGCCGCCGGGCAAACAGGCGAAACTGAAATAACTCCGGAGGCCTCTAACGCATGTATCTGGTAGTTTTCTCGTGCATGCACATTGAGCCTGGACCCCAGCCTGCAAGCCGTCGCTATTTAAGCTTTCACGGTTGTCTGATAAGATGTTAAAACGTGCTTTCGCATTGTAATTTGTGTTCTGCTGCGCATAGAATTCTGCGACGGTAAAGCACGATTCAAGCGAACATAATTTTGCGGCCTTTTAATTAAGTCCATAAGTTTTTATGCGTCTTAGAGCGCGGTGCGAGCCTCATATCAGGGCACAAACAGACGTGGCATTCGAGGCAAGTTGGGACTGTTTCGGAGAACCCGGTATGTGTTGTGCGTGGTTCAAACAATGGGCATATCGACTGTGCCTTGCAGGGGGTCCATGTTACGCTTGCAAAACTGTAAAAGTCACCAAGTAATAAGTAAATGCAGAGTTGACATATGATGTGTAGACACGCCATGGTGGATGACATTCAGCAGCTGTGTTGAGGAACAACACGCAGCAGATGTGGGTAGTTGGTATTATTGGAACATAGGTAACAAAGATATGGGAACAGCGAGGTTCAGTCGGCAACCGCCATTTGCCGTATGTGCCACGAGCTCGTACCAGCATAGACGTCATCCATGACTTAACATCCCTTGACGCAAGCCCAGCATGCCCCGCCGTGTAGCCCAGCTTTGCGCCTGGAGGAAAAAGCGGTGCAAGTGGTCTTAGCACCTCTCACCGATGCTTGCCAACATAGACGTCATCCATGACTTAGCATCCCTTGACCCAAGTCCAGCACGCCCCGCTGTGTAGCCCAGCTTTGCGCCTGGGGGAAAAAGCAGTTCAAGTGGCCTTGGCATCTCTTGGCTCAACGTGCATGCACAAGAAAACTACCAGATGCATGGTCTTCCCGAATGCTTACTGTGCTCCGCTGAATTGCAGGGCCGGGCAGCCGTAATCCTCCAGAGCATGAATTTTGACTACTCCATAGATCAGAAATGCGGACTACCTTTCTATGTTCTGTCTGATATGTTTGAATGTTGAGTGCATTTCTTGCGTTCAATACATATTTGTATAGTCCCAATATTACCGCATTGTAGGAAATTCCTCGACAGGTGCACAACGAGCTGTGACATATAACCTTTTGCAAGCATCTGTGAAAAGAAGCACTGCACATTAATGGTTGTTAGAAGTTCTCCAACACTAATGTATCATACCATCAGCTGGCACATAATGCCTCTCTTAGGTTGGTGAAGGGCTACTAATTCAGGCGGTGATTACAATCTGAAGGGTATTCTCGGGCGGACGTCAAAGTTTGGCCGACAAAAACCTATAGGGCCGGGTGACGACCGGACTCCAGAGGACCGCCTGGTACCAGAACTGGTAACAGAGGTGGTCCTGTTGAATCATTACATGATGTTCATAACGTTATCCGTTTTTCCGTTTCGCTAAAGTCCAGATGACCATGCTGCCGTTAACGAGAACTCTACTTCATATTCGGGCGAACTATGCAAAACGCTTCCGAGGCTATTAAACGTGTTGGACAGCTTTGTCGTCCGAGACTACTGGGGATGCACTCGCTGGATTACGTTCTGGCTTTTCCGTATTGTTATTTACGCGCACCTCGTCACTATCTACATAACAACGCCTGATAGGCCAGGACTTGGCGACAGCAGCAGCCTCTGCACCCTGTTCGAAACAAGAGCCACCCCTGGCCGTGCAATCGTAGGAAGCTGTGCATCAGAATCAGGCGGGAACTCCGTGATGCACGTGTACTCTGGATGCACGTACATATCGGCTCTCTGGAAAACACCACGTATAACGTAGCGTTCACAAAGCGCGTGCATCCCGCGGTCCGGGTGAAGCGGGTTCGGCCGCCATCCATACACGTGATTTTCTTTCCAGCGCACAGTCTCCTTCCCTTCCAGTTGAAATAAAGTGCTACGAATCGATTCAGCACTTCCAAAGTGAATCGGACCGGCTATACCAATGTGTTAATAGCATATAATCATCGGAGCAATTATCGTATCATCGCGTGCAGCCGACGGCATTTGCATCAAACTGATTATGTGATGATAATTAGTGGAATTGAAGGGAACATAAATGACTCATGCATTGCTTTTTTGTAGGTCAGGATGTACGGCAATGCAAAGTTACATTGATGTTAGGCATGGCGCCAGGAAGACATTGCAAGGGTATGACTGGTGTAACGATTGTAAAAACAAAGTTGACGCTAATTTCTGATGACAACAGGGAACATTCCATATACTAACCAAGTTCACTTTGCTGCCACTTGCATCCTATCATTCCGCAGAAGTGTTTTGCATTTGTCGGCGGAACCTTTCATTAGTTATTCCCATAGCAGCCGTGTTGTCGCACTAAGCGGCCCTCTCTATCATGTAAATGAGAACGGGGACGAGAATCCCATCCATCCTCGGCGACACCGAGCGCGTCGCTGCCGGCGAGATCAGCACAGTGGAGCCGGGCGTGGGCCACCCTCTTCATCCGTCCAACCCCTCCCGCCCGGCGGAGCTGCGCGTAAATGCAGATGGCTCTTAGATATGCGCAGAAATGTTTGATTGTGCGGATCTTAACAAACACTGGATGGGGGCGTGTCTAGCAGCACGGCTCAACATAGCAAACACTCGGTGTGGTCGCCGACACAGTTTACAGATTTACTAGGCTGTTGGTAGGGCTAACGGTATGAACCATAGATCTCCCCGCTGGACAAGGCTGTATACTAAGTAGCCGGCAGATCTTGAGCGGAGGTGCGTTTCACCGGGAGCAGAGCTGTAAACTAGGTACCGCAGATCTCCTGAGCGGAGGTGCGTTTCACCGGTGGACAAGGCTGTACTAAGTAGCCGGCAGATCTGAGCGGATGGTGCGTTTCACCGGTGGACAAGGCTGTAACCAAGTAGCCGACATATCCCCTGAGCGGAGATGCGTTTCGCCGGTGGACAAGCTGTAACTAAGGAGCCGGCAGATCTCTGAGCGGAGGTGCGTTTCACCGGTGACGAGGCTGTAACGAAGTAGCCGACAGATCTGAGCGGAGGTGCGTTTCACCGGTGGACAAGGCTGTAACCAAGTAGCGACATATCCCCTGAGCGGAATGCGTTTCGCCGTTGGACAAGGCTGTAACTACGCCAGCCAACATATCCCCTGAGCGGAAGATGCGTTTCACCACAGGGCTGAAAGACCATCGAATAACGTGCGTGTTCAACTGCACAGCTGGCCGCTACAGAGGGTGGGGTGTTGAAGGGTGTTGAACTGCACGGTTGGTAGTTCCTTTGTATGCGCATGCTGAACAGCATAGTTGACGAACCTCCCCGAGGGAGGTGTGCCACGCGGGGTCATTGACGTCACTGGCTACACGTGTTCTAGATGGGTACCCTTCACGTAGCATTTCAGTGGTGACGTGAACGACTTCAGTGATAGTATACCTATCTGGAGGAGAACCCAACTAAAGAGGAAGATGAATATGTCACGAATGAACGCCCCGCATTTTCTAATTTTTGGTGGAAAATATGCATACCGTATCATCGTGCATCCGACTTACGATCTCCTTGATGTAAGCCTCATAGGATGATTCCGAATTTGCCGGAAAGGTGACCCGTCCGGTGGTATTGACTGATGCAGGCTGATCTGTGTCGGCACGTAATCCTTCCGGTTGCGCGCAGCGAGAGTCGCCATTAGCGGGAGCAGTTCGGGTGTGGGGCAAGACGGAGTAACGGCTCACCATGGCAGTAACGATGGGTTTTTGGCGACGGGTGCTTTGAGAAGGAAACTCTAACAGAGCTGCCAATGGCTTGCATTGGCATGAGCACATTGTGGTTTCCGGGATAGAGAATTACAAATAATATCATGAACAATGCATTTAATGCACCCACCGGTTTCAGGAATGCCTTCATTGCACGGCTCACTAGTGCTTGCGGTTGAACGTGATTGCTGCGATATTTAGTTTTGGAATTGTCGATAGCGAAATATTAGGGCTTCACCGGGAATATCGCTTCACCGGGAATATTTTGCATTGCTGTTGTGAGGAATCTAGGCGGTCATCAAGTAAATTGAGCCGGATGCAACCTCTACGGATTACATGGCTTGACTGGGCAGTATTTGTTTTAATGTTGCACAGCCTGCTGGATAAATGATGATCTATGAAAGTGATGAAGCCACAGTCAGATCAACTCACTAATGCGTGTGATCGTTATCTTCAACACAATTCTTTCTCACCGAACGTTACAGGTTTTAGATAATGCCTCATGGGGAACAAAAGCCTTTACATGGTTACAGGACAGTGCATTGATTCTGCATTTGCCTACCTGCCCTGGCTACCTGGTTACCCGCAGTGATCAAAGTCTACGACGTGAAAGCACGGGTTCGAGAAAACACTTTTAATAATGCACCACGCATCTGTTAGATTAATTTAGCGTTCTTTACCTGTAACACAGGGTTTACTCTTGATGTTTATCAATCTCTACAACTGCTGAATGAGGCTTCTTGTATGTGTCTAAGGCTGCATGTGGGGACCGGATTCTATAAATTTGACTTGTTTATAATAATTATCTGGAGGATGTGCTGCCTTGCAGTTCTACTTTGGCCTCAGTGAGTTCTCTTGGCTGAGAAGTCCCATCTCATGGCAGAAAACACAATAGAGGCAAGGCTTCAGTTTTTTTGGAGTTTTTGGATTTTTTGGAGACATTTTTGGTACATTCGTTATGACCAGCGCTCCTTCAAGCCGAAGCTTTTTCCACAAAATGACATACCGGATACTGGACTTCCTACCGCCAATACCACCAGCAATGTTGGTCGTTTTGGCGCGTTCTTAGACGCATCGCCGTGTGACGACAAGCCTGCCGTCTCTGCCCACGCCGGCTCGCCCGTGCGCCGGCCGCCGCTCAAACGTGCCGTTTCGTGGAAACATTAGCATTATCGATTACAC